CATATGAACTTGTTTTTGGAAAACTTTGTCAAATACCCGATAGTATAAGTAATACCGTAGAACCATTGTATAATATAGATAAATAACCATTACAATTAAAATACAGGTTACAATTAGCTCATGAAGATGCAAAGAAAAATTTGTTGATTAATAAGCATAAACGGAAAGAAATATATGATAAGTCTGTCAATTCTGCAAACTATGAGAAAAATGATTTCGTTTTAGTAAAAAATGAAGCACGTAGTAAATTAGATGCAATATTTAAAGGTCCCTATACAGTTATGGAAGATTTAGGTTGTAACGTAAAAATAATTAAAAATAATAAAATTGAATTAGTACATAAGAATAGGACTAGGCCTTTTTGTCAATAGATTTGAATGTAAGATTTAATTTTAGATAACATTGCAATGTATAATGATAAGGATAAACGTATGTACCATTTTATTTGTAATAAGTAACTTATGTCTATTAAACACTATTATTTTAAAAGATGATACTTCAAGTAAATATCTAGTAAAAATTATGTAAAATAAAAAAATAAAAAAATGTACCTAATTCTCTTTTTTTTTCTATGTCCTCGGGAGGTGAAGTGTAAGAATAATATGTATGCTCCTTTAGTTTAGTAAGTAAGTACGCTACTTTATAACCGTATGTATGCTGAGTTTGCACTATACCTTATATGCATTATTTTAGATTGTTACCAGCGCATTCATTAAATAGTACGTAACTAATGTAGTCGTTTCCTTGAATAACACCCATTAGGAACCCCAACATTACAAAAGTCTCAGACCGGGGACGACTAAATCTAGTCCAGTTTAATCCCCAGAAAAGAAAAGTTTGCACGTTTACCGCTAAAAAGAACCCTTTGTCGTATCTCCTCAGTTTCAAGGCACTCCCCTTGTTGCCTCAGCCAGTAACGGAATCCTCGGCGTCGACATATCGAGTGACGTGCAGTTTCGTGGTCACTTGGAAGAGAATGCTAAATTGGTATCTAAAAAGCTTGGCGTGCTCAGCAGAGCGGAATAGTATTTCATGCCGGCATCACCACCCGCAACTTTACAAGGCGCAGGTTCGGTCGCACATGGAATACTGTTCCCATCTCTGGGCTGGGGCTCCCCAGTGCCAGCTCTTTCCATTTTATTGCATCTAGCGCAGAGCAGTTCGATTATTATTATTATTATTACACTGCGAAGAGATGTTGCATCTATTTGCGTATTTTATCGCATCTACCACGGGGAGTGCTCTGAGGAATCGTTCGGACTAATTCCAGCCGCACAACTTCACCATTGCACATCGTAACAAAACTCGCGATACCATCCATTCCATCTGGATGATGGCGGTCCACCACTGTGCGATTTAAAAGAAGTTTTCTTCCTCGTACAACTTTCTTGTGGAATCGACTACTGTCTGAGATTTTTCGAACCGATACGACTTAGGGACCTTTAAGAAAAGAGCCTATTCCTTTTTAAAAGGTCGGCAACGTATCTGCAATTCCCCTGGTGTTGCAGTTGTTCATGGGCGGCGGTGATCACTTACCATCAGGTGAACCATATGCTCATTCAAATTACGAGGGTGGATTGAAAAGTATTCGGCCTAACACAGATCCATTCAATTCTAAAAATCAAATCTACCCACATTATTTAGTTCAGTTTAGACTAGTTCACTGTGTGAAGTTCGAAACGTGTGCCATAATTAGTTGTGATTTTATAAATTTATTAACAAAGTAATCGGACATAATTTCCGCGAATGGAGCAAATCGAGCAGCGTGCCGTCATTAAGTACCTCCATAAGAAGGGGCTATCATCAAAAGCCATCCATGATGACATGGTCAGTACATTAGGCGATTGTGCTCTGTCATATTCATCCGTCAAAAAATGGATAGCAGAATTTAAGCGTGGTAGAGAGAGTGTGAAAGATGAACCCCGCTCTGGAAGGCCTTCGACGTCAACTACTGACGAAAATATTAAAAAAAGCACTTTATATAATAATGGGAGACCGCAGATTAAAAATTAGAGAGATAGCCGAGATTATAGGCATCTCTTATGAATGAACTCAAAACATCATTGTCAACGAGTTGGGTTTCCACAAGGTGTCTGCGAGGTGGGTTCCACGACTGCTTTCAGTTGAACAAAAAAGGACGCGATTGACTATTTCACGCGACTGTTTGGAGTTATTTGAATCCGATGCAGATGATTTTTTGAATCGTTTTGTTACTATGGACGAAACATGGGTTCATTACTGTACACCGGAAACAAAACAACAATCAAAACAGTGGAGAAGACCTGGTTCACCACCCCCTAAAAAGGCTAAGTCGATTTTGTCGGCAAATAAGGTGATGGCTTCAGTATTCTGGGACTCGAAAGGTGTGATTATGATTGATTATCTTGAAAGGGGTCAGACAATAAACTCTGATTACTACTGCACCTTACTACGTCATTTACGAGAGGAAATAAAAGAAAAACGTCGAGGAATGCTCAGAAGAAAAGTCCTGTTTCATCAAGATAACGCCCGTGTTCACACGTCAGTACAGTCAATGGCTGAAATTCACAACTGTGGCTTTGAACTGTTACCGCATCCGCCGTATTCACCTGATCTGGCACCATCAGACTTCTTTCTGTTCCCTAACCTAAAAAAGCACTTGGGAGGTCATAGATTTTCGACAAACGACGAGGTCAAAGCAGCTGTAGACGCATATTTTGACTCTAAGGAAGAATCATTTTTTTTCAACGGTCTAAATGCTTGGAAGGGGAGGTGGCAAAAGTGTATTGAACTTGATGGTGATTATGTAGAAAAATAAAAATATAACTGATTTAGTATGTGTTTATTTTCTTGGTTAGGCCGAGTACTTTTCAATCCACCCTCGTATAACAGATTTTTACAATAAGCATTTTCTTATGTACTATTTAAAATTTACGACACTGGGTGGACTGAGCCCTATGAAGCTGTAAGAGCCGCATAGACTAACAGAACCAACATCATCGAAACTACAGACACTGGATGGCTTATAGCTACGTAATTGATAGAATCAGGCGTTACTTTGCGGAAATCCAATATAATAAAGATATTGATTAATTTGCAACCTTCCACTAACTAAATACAATGATGTGTCTTACCTAGATTGAAGAGCACCTCCCCCCCTCCCTCAAATGCACGCACTAATTCCGTCACCACTATCACCACTACTCCCAACACCACTACTCCCGGCACCACTACTTCCAACACCACTATTCCACTGTGTCGTAAATGGGAAAATGTTCGGGGAGACAACTGTCATTTGCAAATGGTCGTCCCTAAAGCTAAAGTACCGGATGTTCTACAGCTGTACTGGAAAACCAAATATAGTTAGCGGAAGGTTGCAAATTAATCTTTATTATAGCTATGTGGTAAGGACCATTTTCAAATAATGTGAGATGTGTGGCAGGAGCAACCAGATTATAACTACGGCGTGCGCCGTATCGACGGGGTCTATCTCCAATTTGTTGGAAACAAGGATAACGGAACGCTGCATATGACTCTACGACGGCAGCAACTAGTATGAGATACGCACTCACCCTTGTCATTCATTATCAGTTGATTGGGTCTCACTAGGTTTAAAATCTTGCCTTGAATATGTTTGTCACACACTTTTGTAGTAAAACTTCTTAACCAGGCTTGACTTGGGGAGTAAGTTGGCGAACGCGTGACGAAAGCGTTACGAAAAGTGTGATCGGGCGAGGCGTACGGGAGTTGAGTGGGGTATATACGCAAGAGTGAGCAGTGCGAGCGCAAATTTTCTTTCTCTCTTTCTCTCACAGCCAGTTATTTTTCGTAATTTTATTTCGTTTTGAACAATTTTATGAATTAATATTTTGTTCTATACATTAAATATTCTACGTTTAAAGTGAATAATATTGTAAATTCATTTCAAAGTTCATTGAATTAACAAATTATGGAAGGAAGCCGATAATAATTTTAAATATTTGTAATTTAAATATTTGTTTGTCCGCCTCGCCCGATCACACTTTTCGTAACACTTCGTCACGCGTTCGCCAGCTTACTCCCCAAATCAAGCGTGAGTAAAGAAGTTTTACTTCAAAAGCTAGGTCCGTACGCTTTAATTTTAAAGTAATATTGCGTACAATATAAGTTATTAGCATCTAAATATCTATATTTTTGGCTTAAAACTACCTCGAGCTTTTTTATTTTTCTTAATTAAACTAAACTGAATTACTAAGAAATACGTACAGACCTAGACTAAGGTGTATTGAATCTAATGAGACCAAAATTATGGATGCAATTAAATAGAAGTTTTACTTCAGTCGTGTGGTCATAAGCACACTTGTTTTGTTATTTCCAAAAATTATGAAAATTAGACTATGTTTACAGGTGGGAAAACGTTATCGCTTTTTGTATGGAGTGTTGAAGTAAGGAGTACAGACTGTGTATTAAAAAGTGTCCGTAGAAAACCGTTAAATTGGGTGGCGCCACTATAACTACGGGTATATATAATTTTTAAGAACGCACCGAAAAATATTAGTGGGGTAGATGACTTTTTCGAGGTTATATTTACTAAATAAAATTATGTTAGATTTTCGTGCTACTGAGCAATTTAGCAGCACACCTAAACCGTCGACAACTGCTAAGTTCATTTCATCGCAGTAGTTACTCCAGCGCTGTTGTGGAGAGTTTTTGAGCTGTTATTTACTGCTTACAGATGACCACTTTTTCAACTATTCTACTATGGGAGTTGGTACTCCTTACTTCTACACTCCATAGCTTTTTGTATAAAAAATGTACAGCTTCACAATCCTTTTAAGGTATCCCCAGATTTTGTTGATGTGTTTATAGGCCTATGTTTAGCAGTGTAATTTTGATATGGTGTATTGGATAGATGGATAAATACAAAATTGCAATTTCATAAGTAAATACCTAATGCTCAACATAATAAAAACTTTTTAGAAGAAAAAATAAAGAATCCTGTAAATAGGAGTTATTGGTGTATGAGGTTAAATATTACATACCTGATTGTTAAGTTAGGTAAAACTGTTTCATCTTTGTTTTCATTAAGCTCCTCGATTTTTAAAGGTTCTTGTTTTATGAAAATTTGAGGTTTTACTATTGTGTTGAGATTCTCAAGCGTCTGCGTACCTTGAAAACATCAAAAATACTGATAGTGTGTAGTAAGGTTAAAAGTAAAATAAATATGTGTTAGAGTCATAGATGCAGCTATATTATTGTAGCGTGAATTGGCTCGAAACCCCTGAATCCACTTCCCATCAAGTGGACTCTGTGCTCATTCTTCACCCACATTCTATAAAAAAAAATTATCCGTGCTCACTTTCTAACATCTGTTCATCATTATTTGGCTCATTCTTAATGTTATCTCCGAAGCTCACAGCGACGATCTTCGGTGTCCATTCCGTTTGAATTTCATTCGTATTGTCGTAGCAAAAGTCATAGCCATTCTTCATTGTGAATCCCATTGTCGATAGAGATTGTGGAAAACTGTAAGTGTGGTCAGGATTCTGAAAAAGAACGAACAAATATTTTCAATATGTAACCAAGTGATACAACTTACATTTAATAAATTTAAAGTCCATCCAATCCATACATAATATTTTTCTCCAGCCCTTAAAAGCTCACAATTGACATGAGTCTCTCCAATTGTACGGAGAATATGCCTTACTCATCATGTTTGGTAGGAGAACTGACTAATGCAGTAATACAAGGCATAGCCATGCCGCAGCTATATTATACAATACAATAAGGAATCATGTCCAGTCTTGACATAAAAATATTGTAGTTCGGCATTAGAGCCACCACATCATTATGAAGCGACTGCACTGACCGGTAGTAGAATCGCGGCTGGTTATGGTTGTAGCATGAATGATACCCATTCCCATACTCGACTGGGGTAGGATCATGCTCTTACAGAATACCAACGTAGAAGAGCAGATCAATGCTGCTGTGTTCCGTATGGTGAGTGTAAAGTGCCGATGACCCTTTTTTCACTGGAAATGAGGCATTTTAGTGCAGTCCTCAGGAGCGACAATAATGTGCATTTTGATTCTTAATTGAGCATAAATGTAGATGTCAATTAACGTACCATTAGTACAGCATCCACTTACCATTAGGTACACTGTATGCTTTCTTGTCACCCTTATTCTATAAAAACAACCAGACGTAGGATTTATATTGTGGTAGAACTATCTCTAGATGCTAGACATACAATAGACAGATCTATACATAGAAGCTTTCGAAGACATGTAAAGTTCACCAACACACATTGGGGCAGCGCGGCGGACATTTCCTTGCTCTAAAACCCTCTCAGAAATGAGAGGAGGCCATTGCTCAGCAGTAAGACATATATAGGCTGTAACTTTAATCATTATGTAATGGAAATTGCAAGAATTACATGAAATAATAATAGCATGACATTGTAAAGAAGTCTATTGCTCAATGAGTGGAAATATCAATATAGAATGATGAAGAGCAAATAATGAAAGCCGCGTGGGGGCAAGGTAAGGGAATCCATCACTCCATTTTATCCTGTGGGTGCCTAAGGGAAACACCAAGAAGATGTTATAGCTTTATTTTATAGAATAATAGTGACAAAAGCACACAGTGCAGCTGATGGTAAGGTGCGGCTCTTATACACCTACATCTATCTTCCATCAACAATCAAACTGCAGAAGCATTGTCACCCCTAAAGACTAAGATGGAATGCTTCATTTCCAGTAAAAATGGTCCCCGATTCTCTACACTAGTCATATACAATACAGCAGCATCAAGTCGCTATTTTATGCTGGTATTTTGTGTGACAATAGTCGTATCCTAGTCGTCGACCCATTTGTGTTAATAATAATGTCCTCCAGACCGAATTTCGGCCACGGCGGCCTGCCTCAACGGAGGCTAGCCATCGGCGCAGGACAGGATTATAGTGCCCAAGTGTAGGCGCAAGCACATGTGCACTCTCTATTCCCTCACTGTCATAATCCAATGGTACGGTAAACCCACACGACCGGAGAGAGATCACGCGCAGGACCAACGGCTTTACATGCTTTCTGAGGCACGGGGATGAGACACCGCCAATTTCCTGATGACTCTGGGCAGCTACTTAGAATTTCTTGACAGAAAAACTCAATAATTGATTTTTGGGCCCGACCCGGGATTCGAACCCAGAAGCTCATGATCAGCAGTCGCACTACTACAACAACTAGACCAACGAGGCAGTTATTTGTGTTACAACCATAATGTAACTACATCATGGCTCTATCACATACAGCATGGCTGCTGATAAATAATGGTAAAACCAATTGTTTACACCAGGCTTAAATTAACCAGTTGGTGATGGATTGCAGCATGAATAGCAGCATGACGGTAAAAGACAAATCCTTCTCATTATAAGAGTGACTCAAGTCTAGTTGTATACTTTTACAGGCTGAAGAAAAAGATGAAAAGCATACCTCATGGTTGTCTTTTAAGGTAAGGATAGTTTCCTGGGCTGTGTGAACTTGCTTCTTGAATTTATCAAACCTCCTTAATAAAGCAAGACATTCCCAACACACTTGTAATGTTTCTTCTGGTTCTTCAAACTGGAAAACAAATACATAGCCTAAATAACAGTAACAATATACAGAAGTAATTTTTTAGTAAGTAAATTTGACAATCAAGCACACAGTCAACCTGATGGTAAGTGAAGCCTGTAGCCCATAGACATCCAAGTCTACCATCGCACAAGAATCAAAGTGCCGTTTTTTATTATTTTATTATTATTATCGGGAAGATGCTTTAGCCTTCTAGTATGTATCCCTCTGTTGCCTAGCCACAGACACACCAGACCAGACAGTGGTCCTTGTAGTTGCTGTATAAGAAGTACCTGGATGACGAGCTTTGCTGGGTATTTTTTTTGTAAATCGTGTTTATTGTAAATTATATTTAGATACAAATTACATACAGATGATATATGAATAAAATTTTTCGATTTTCTCAGTCATTATTTTTCGTGTTTTAAAAAAATATACTAAAAAAAGGGCTCCAAATAATATATTTTCTCAGAAAAGTATGAACTTGAAAAAAGGGAAAAAAGAGTCAGACCGGAGACATTTGGACTCTAACCTCTAAAAAGTTACCATTAGTTCTATGTTTTCAGTGCCGCCAGATATCCCATTTGAGCTGTTATAACCTTTTAGGCATCGGCGAAATTTACTTTCGTATTCTAATGATATTGTAGCAGTTTTTCATTGCCTAAAAACATGGATAAAACGACATTTTCTTAAAATGAGTCCTAGCTAGATAGATTTATTGCCCTCGAAACCCCCTGCATACTAAATGTCATGAAAATCATTGGAGCCGTTTCAACGATTTCCATTATATATACAACACATAACATAATTAACGCACTTTGAGAAAGTAGTTCGTTCAGAATCGTTTACTGAATTGATTCCTATGATTTTAAATATAGGTAATTTTTTATCCCAAATTTAATTAAAACTACGTAAATTACAGTCCCACTAAATCTGTACAGTCAAAACAAACTGAAATGGACCATAACTTAAGGCAATAAGACTTTTAAGAGTGCAGTTTTATTTGTATTATTACTAATTCTGTGTAATAAAAATAAAAAAAGATGAACTTTATTTCAAGCATGTTAAAGTCTTTGCGTTCGTGGATTTGTACTGTGACCACAACATTCTTCCGGAATTAGTATAACTAATTTGATAAATAATCAGTGTATAAAAATGTTTAACTAAAAATTCAGTGTATGTATTATGATTATAACATAATATACTATTTGGGGTGTTTGAGGGTGTGCATTAATTACGTTACATATTGTATATATGCTATTTCTTAATCAAAATTCTTGCATCACACAATATAAGCATGACTGGCTTAAAACACATGCATTGTTTGTTAAGTATTTTAAAGTCAGTTACAAGATATGTACTGGTAGGCAAAATATAGGGCACCCCCTCACTGCATTATACTAGACAGTGACAACCTAGTAAGACATGTACGAAGTTGATAGATACAGGTCGCTCAGGACCATGCTTTGTGGCACTCTTTTGGGGAAGCCTATGTTCACCAGTGGACTTGTGAAGGGCTGTGTAATGATGATAATGATGATGAATATAGTATTGATGAATGGTGATTTACATTGAAAGAAGCCTCCTAATTTAATAAAAAAAATGATACAAAATCTAAAAAGAATAAAATAATTTCCCCAGAATAGCTTCTGAAGTCAGTGTTGAGACTATGTATTGACAAATTGAAGCCCGTCCTATTCATATTCGTATTTACATGAATCAATATAAGAATGTTATTAAAAAAAAGTAGTCACAGGTCACCCTTCATTTCTGAGAGGATTTTAGGGCAAGGAAGTTGTCCGCCTCACTGCCCCAATGCGTGTTGGCGAACTTCACATGTCTTCGAAATATTTTTTTCCTCAGACATGCAGGTTTCCTCACAATGTTTTCCTTCACTGCAGAGCACGTGGTAAATCAGCACTTAAAATTGCAATTAACAATTTCATTGGTGCCGGCGGAGATTGAACCCGGATTACTCACGTTCCGTTATATTTACAGCGAGCGTTAACCATCTGAGCTACCGCTCTCGGAGAATGTTATGTACACTTGTAATTGACATACATATCTAAGTGTAAAGATATGTAGATTTTAGTGATACTTGTTAATTAAACAAAAAATAAAATTACATACAGTTCATCATCATCACAACCTGTCCACCACTGAACATAAGCCTCTTGCAAGGAATGCTACAAAGCATGTTCCTAGGTTACTTAAACTCATAGACTTCTTACATCTCCTAATAGATCATCACTCCATCTAATGAGTAGGTCTCCTCCGTATACTTCATCTACATTATTTTGGTAATAGATGGCTAATCATAATACATTTTAACAAGCTCCATATTTTAGTAGTCATATTATGAATTTTGCATAACTGCATCTCATAATGTTCATTATAAATAACTAATAGGGAATATTTTTACCTTTAATATTATTATAATAATGATTTGAAGCTCTTTTTTCAAACACACATTTTTTTCATGTACTAATTTTCAGAGAATACTCAAAATAATATAGGAATTTGAAAAAAAATTAATTCAAAAAAATCTCATACATTCTATACTTTGTATTATTCAAATTCAGAATGTGTAATACATTATTTTGGGTAAGGTTTACAATTCGATCGCCTGAATTACGGGGTGGGGGGGTGGTGTGGGGGGGAGAGGGAGGAGTTGTAGAGACACCCCCTACTTCCACTTTCTGCCGGACGTGCTTAGTTTTTTTTTAATAAATTTTTAAAAATCTCAATTTGAGGTTATGTTTCGTAATTTTTATGACAATTATATTTTTTTATAATTTATTATCATTTATCATTATTTATTATAATTTATAAATAAATTTTATAAATATCTAATGCCTACTACTTTACTAGCAATGTGCACATTCATGAGGGTCGCTGGTCTGCAAAATTGTTGTGAATTGAATTGCACACAGAGGAGCACAGTGGAGTTGTTGCCTCAATCACATTCAATTTGGAATAATTTCAAATAAAAATAGAAGCCTTATTAACTCATATTTTCAAAAACTGCAATAATGGTTTATCACTTTATATACTTATAGTGGGTAGCCCTCCCTCCCCCCTTCCAAAAAACCTCAAATATCGATGGTCCATATTGTAAATGCCAACCTATATATATATATATATATATATATATATATATATATTTGAACTTAAATATACTCTCAGAAAAATAACCCAGAATAACTTCACAATGCTGTGTTAATCCTTGCCGTTAATAAATGAAAGTTGGGTGTGACAGAAGAAGCACTTCTTAGTTTGCCAGAAGTTACACTGAATGATAGTGTGAGAAATTATCTGTTATGAGAAAAGTGTGGTTTGTACGAATTTGTGACCATAAAAAAGAAAGCTTTGACAAAGTTGCAAGTGTACTCACCTTATCAACCGCGACATCATACATTAGTAATCGAAATATTTGATAAATATTTGATTGACTTATTATAAACACTAAATCACGATCCGAGCTAAGGCAAGCACTACAAACTTTTGTGTAAGCAATATCCACTTCTTGCTTCATTTTACACATGAAAATTATTATTTGTTCTATCGATGTTACATTACAATCATTTCCTAGCCACTAAACCTTCAGCTGTACAGGTGTTCTCTTAGTAAAATGTACACGTACGACGGGATAATATTAGATTGTTATTACATACTGAAGAGAGTTAAACATTATTTGTCCAACCCATAGATAGATAGATATGGAGCAAGTCCAACCAAACTAAAATTAGTGAAAATAATCTATTTATTGATCCTTAAAATAAAATATCATAAAATAATAAATATATAGCAAGCTAATTTGGGGTATGTTCCGAAATACAACGCAGTGTACTGTCCAATGCAAATGACGTCATGAATCGACGCTATACTGGTGATTCGTTCCAAAACATTGGACAGTATATGAAGTCATACTTTTTGCGCCATTTGGAAAAGTGTTGGCGATTATTTTGTCATTTTGTGCTCCAAAAATCTTTATATCCTCCTAATGGATATACCATCAATTATTCTATAATTTTTTTGTATTTGAATAAACAGAAACAAATTCTGGCATGCTTCATTCGGCAAACACACAATTAAAAATTGTTTTATTATGGCCGGATATTCGACACAATATGGCGGCGGCACGCTAGTACAATAATGTGTCAAATGATACGTCATTTGCATTGGACAGTACACTGCGTTGTATTTCGGAACATTGATTTTGATCTTATTGTTGTTTTTATTATTCGCTCGAGAAAGCAGGCAAAGGAATTAAGCCATACAGCCTTGTCTTGTAGACATACAACCGTGTAAAGGCCGGAACCAAGTCTTATTTTTCTTCTTTCCATCTCTTCAAAATCCATAAAGGCCCAAGCCAAGTCTTACTTTCTTTAATTCTTCATATTTTCAAAAATCACAAAGGCTAAAGCCAAGTCTTCTTTATATTATAATAAATCTTTATAAGTTTCAATCCATATAGATTTATAAGTCCAGTTTCAAGGTACCCGCGCTTTTTTTTCTTTTCTTCATAATATGCTGATGAGTCACATTGCGAAGCCCTTGGGAGATTATGACGACACCTCAACCCAGCGGACAATTCATGACGAAACCCACTCAAGTTCATAAGGCGCCTAAGCACAAATTATAAAGTTGTATATACAGGACGCCTAAGCCATCAAAATAACTTGAGGTTTATATCGACGTCAAAGCACTTGTTTAGTCGTTTTCTCTAACAGTTCACACGCGCAGATAATTAATTCACAAAATCACACTTTTACGAATTAAAATCCACTTCAAACCCTTATTCAAGCGACAAAATAGGAGCGACCGTCGGTCGTCGGCCAAGTTCCTGCCAAAACCTCTAATTTGATTTTGATTTTTGGTCACTTTTTTATTTAGCTAGCTTTACGGCTCTGAGTTCTAGCCCTTCTGAGCCTCTCATTTCTTTCGGAATCTTCGTTCAGTTGTGTACACAAACCAATAAGAGTACTAACGTACAGATGACAATCTTCCATACTAAAAAATTGGTCTATAGCGAGCCTCAAGAATTGAACTCGCCTGCCAAGTTTGAAAACCAAGGCATATACACTACTCTTGCGGCAACTATGACAAAATCTTCCAATGTGGCAATCTATGGGGGATGCCTATAGTCAGCAGCAGGCTTTCACAGGATATATATTTATAGGAATAATGAATTAAGAAAAAATAAATAGAAAAATTACTGACCGTGATCTCAGCTTCTTAAGCAACGTGAGATATGCATCCTGGTAGTGCAGTTACTTTGACCGTAGATCCTGTTAATACCAGATTTATTCGGGATAACGAATCGCAGCTCAATGTGTCGGTAGCACACATCATCATCAGCCTGCAGCAGTCCACTGCCTGAAATAGGCCTCTCACAAGGCGCGCCACTTAGCCCGATCTTCGGCTACACGCTTTCAGTTTTTATCAGCCACCTTGCGCAGATCGTCCCACACTACGTTTGCCTAGACGCGGTCTTCACTCCATAACACATATAATAAAAAGTAGCACACATGCAACTTATTATTATGTAAGTTCTTGTACATAACCTTTGAATTTTTTACATATTTAACTTTATGTCGTCGCGTAATGGACGCGGCGCATCCCGGGACACTTGGTGGGGTGTGGACAGAAACGTCAAAACACATATAAATCCATAGCTACATATTTATACATTTGTAGTCAATAGCTGTCAACATCGACTTTTGAGGTCCATAGACATAAGGCTAGGAATATTTGTATAGAGATTACCACCCCTGGTTGTGTAGCTACCTTGGGGCTAGGCGGGGCAGTGCCCCGGGGCCCTCCAACTCAAGGGGCCCCTCAGCCTTCATGACGACGTTCGAAAAAATTATACATATGAAATCCTAATTGAATAAAAAGAATTCGACTTTTAACTTTTTGGCCCTTGACCGCCAAACCTCGTATCAATATTAGATATTAACTGCAATCTACTCTGTCATTGTTTATTTTTACCAGCTTCCGCCCGAGACTTCAATTGCCGGGTATAGAAACCAACATTTGAAATTATCCCTCGGGATCATTTTATCGGAATGAAACGGAAGCACACAATTTCATCCAAATCCATACAGTAGCTTTTACGTGAAAGCATAACAAACAAATAAACTTTCACATTTATAATCAATAATCATTGATATAAATGACCATCTCCTAAATACTCTAACTATTGGAACTAGTGTTTTCACTCTTAATTTTGGTTTTACCCTAGAACCTGTACAAGTACTCCTTAAATTATCGTAAAAAATCAAAATAGCCTTATTTATTGCACATAATTTTCAATATTTTAAAGGACAAGATTTGAATACTATTTCATGATTAAAATTTTGAGTTTTGTGATGAAGAAGACGTTCTCATATTCAAATTATAATAGCACTTAGTATTATATGTATAACGAATATGTAAATAAGTAAAAATAACCCATTATTCTACCCTATTTATTATATTAATTATTAAATAAAAACCTTTTCATTCTACATTTTTCTAGCCTTTTTTGACCCTATATCCTTCGATAAGCCTTTAAAAAAATACATTGGGTGGGAATAAAAATCAGGGTTACATGAAGTTCGGTTTTACCCCAAATTATCCAAAGCCCTGTCAACTTGAACTTGAAGAAACGCCTAAAGCCCTACTTAGGTTAGTAAATTTACCCTAAAATAGTGCTAAATATCTTAAAGTGGAAACACTGCACGGACGCACAGCGCGCATTGGTGGTCATATTGGTGCTCCATAAACATTTTAACACCAATGATTCGGTGCCATTTGTTTGTTCAATGACCCTGTCCATACACAGTAGTATAATAAGTCTATGTTTATAATATTACTACTTCACACGCGTTTAATTTACGTGTCGTGTCATTTATATTTAAAAAAAATACTGTTCGATCAATTTAGTTTGTCGCTTGATTATTATTACGAAAATGCGGTAAGTAAAATAAAAATCATATCGTGTATTATCGTGAAACATAGATATTTGTCCACTGCCTACAGATTTAACAACTTTGGATAATCTAACTGTTAATGTCAAAGTTTTATTATTACTACCAGTTATTACCAGTGGCGGTCCTAGCAAAAAATTTTACGTGGTGCGAGATCTCATAGTGGCGCCCCTCTGAATACAAAACCTTAGTGTTCCTATTTTATTCAGTTGCTTTTTCCTGATATTAAATAGTATTAGACCTATCAAATATCTACAGATGTATATGTGGCCCGCATATCTCTTATCTTCGTGCACGCTCTTGCCATAGCAGTTTTTCTGCTTATTCGCGTTAAAGAAATGTTGTTTTATAAAGGCCTTTGCCTTATAAAACAACCTTTGCCTTACAGAACATTTAACCCTTTATGAGGCTTTGCCTTAACATGTTTAAGTTCTCTCAATACATAAAAATCATCTTTCTGATAACAGAAAAAAAAACTACGGTTACCAATCCCCCGTGATGAAAGTTACGAGGAGACTGCCCTCAGTCTCCAGCGGCTCCGCTATTCCTGTCTACGGTGGCGACTATATGGTAACGGCGGGGCAGGCAGTAGTAAGAATCTCCGGTGGAGGTTCGTTTGCCAGGTATAATGACTCGACAGCCTACAGTCTCAATATATATAGTGACGCCATCGCAAACTACCGATCGCTAAATAGTAACGAAAAAAATCGCTTGCCTTAAAGATGCGTACGAAAAATGCAAGTCTCTACAGCCGATATAGCGAGCAAAATCGTTACATAACAGTGTCGTTACGCTAACGAAAAACTTATTTATAGTGCGGTGTTTTCTTAAAAATATAGGCTGTTAAAAATCTTGAATCACAAGGAAAATTGACATTTGACAAACAGAAAATTTTATAAAAATAATTGTTTTCTTTGAAAATTGTACAGAAATAATAGAAACTTTATCTTATAAAAACATTTTTATAATAACTTCCAAAAATCTTTTACCGTTTCTAAGAACTGAACTAATTTGTTAAATATCAAAAGAAAAAAATTACCTCCTTGCAACACTATGATGTTAATGTCAAAATTGTCAATATTTCAATCAATCAATTCTAATGTATGAAAGGGGGATTCTGTCGTCAGAGTGATTGGTGGTTACACGTGTTTTTGTATTGGAATAAGTTTTTAACACTTTTTCGATTCAAATTTGTGTAAAACTTCTTAATTATCTGTGTGTTGCTTCTGTGTGTTCTGTTTGTTAGTAGGTAGGACGACGATGCAACTTGACGGAGGGGATGCTGAACCACCGGATTTATCCGGTGATTCTAGCCCTGCTAAACGTAAACTCACGGATTCCTTACCTTTACCCAACTTCCCGAAGAAAAAAATAGGGCTCGAAAATCACCCTTCTACCTCCTACCAAAATACATACGTCCACCCTTACTTCCAAGACAAAAAAG